TGGCCCGATTGTGCAAGTGAATCATGTCCCGACTCCAAAACACGAGTGTGTATCGACGCCTGCAGCGCTTGACGCTTGCCTTGTGCAGAGTGAGAAGACGCAGCACCGCGAGCCCTGAATATGGAAAAAATCGATTCGTGGCCGTTGAGAATAGTTTTTGAATCGACCACATTTTAAAAAACGATTAATCGGATAATCGTTTTTTTTGCCCAGCCCTAGGCATCAGTTTCCTGTCGGAGATTTGACGCTCGCGCAACGCATTTTAATCAATGTTTCATCAACCAATTGCCTGGATTTAATACATAAGAAGTAAATATAGCAGACAATATACTCAGGACTTCTCAGCTGCGCGCTTTCCCTAGTCATCACAAGCTCACACAATACGTGACAGAGGCTGTAGCAGAGAAATCAATTCTGTGAATTACACTGCGCAAATCACAAGTAGGCTACTACCCACCGGACGAAGAAGAGCTGGCTCTCAACAGAACATAAAATATTCATTTTATTTGATTTTTCGTGTTTGCATTTATGAGGAAAAAACAACGGATGTGACAAGCTCTGAAAGCGGCACTAAACGACTTTAAAACGTTCACCGAGCCCTCAAAACAGAAAGCACAAAGCCTTTCATTAAAGTGAATTTCGTTTTGTATTAATTGTATCTTAATTTTAATCAATGTTTCATCAACCAATTGCCTGGATTTAATAAATAAGAAGTAAATATAGCAGACAATAGATCATCTCGACACGGCAGCGCCGGCGCGTGAACTGCAACTCATCTCATAAATTAGCCAAAACTCAGCAGAAATATATGTATATTGAAATGTCTACTTTTAAACAGAACAATTCAAAACGAAAGGCAGACTGCTCTCTGCTGTAATCCGTATGACATGTGCATTTCTCTCTGGCCTGTTCACTGAAGATCGCGAGTCAGCGTCGTCAACTTTGCAGCGACACTGACTGAAAACACTTGTTTATTAATAAAACATTAAAATGTCTCCTTGCTATTTGATTTATTCATAATCATTACTTTTGCCAGTTCTCTGTGACAGCTTTTATGTGCTTTATTGGCAGCGCCACCCTTACATGAATCACCGCACCCGCATTTTTTAAAATATTAATTTATCGGCCATTATAAAGGCCGATACCGATAGTTAGGAAAATGCCTAATATCGGTCGGGCTCTAAATATATCGAGATATATTTTTTGCTCCATATCGCCCAGCCCTATCGATACGCGAGTAATGTTGGTGTGTTTCAAAGAACTAAGACATCCTGTATTTTGCTTGAATATACTTGCTTGCATTATAAGCCTGGAACATGAGATGGCACACTCCTAATAGCCTATATGTTTTTCTTTTTTTTCTTTTAGTGATTGCTATGACCCCTTAAAGGCACAATATGTAAGATTTTTGTAATAAAACATTCAAAAACCATTTTCACAGTGTGATATATTTCATGAAGTTGTGTGCTTACATTATCCCAAAAGTTCCCAAAGATTTGTAAATCCAGAGAAAATTCAGTTTTAAATAATAACTCGTCCTTGTCATTGTCGCATATTAATGACGTAATATCCGCGCTATCCTCGGTTTGCGCTTGTAAAAACCATAGATACATTCCTCATTAGCGGCCGTTAATTTTTTATTAAATTGTATAAAATATTAATAAAAAATTAATAAGGTAGTAATATCATAGAGTTTTGAGTGACGAAAGGGTGATGATGATTTGTCCTGATACTGAAGAAGAATTACAGAGAAACTGTGTCATGGCATCGTGTATGATGACATCACCATAACATTCTTCAAAGTGCATGAATATGGTCATTATTAATGCATCATATTTTCACCATCTGATGCCACTGCTGTACTGTAACAAACTGAACACAGAGAGATGAGTGCACTACACACACACACACACACAAGTTTTCAAACATTCACTATGACACTGGGAAATAATCGATGTAATCTTCATGGAATATGGGTCGGATTCAGATATAAAGCTGATCATTATTCATCATTATTAAAGAGTGATTATTCAGATCAATGCAGTTCAGGTTTTGTTGTCATCTGATAGTAATCGCTAAATCAACTGCGTGTGTTTAAAACCTCATCCAAGCAGAGCAGGAGCGCTAACTCCGCCAGACTCCGCTAACTCCACCAGACTCCGCTAACTCCGCCAGACTCCGCTAGACTCCGCTAACTCCGCCAGACTCCGCTAGACTCCGCCAGACTCCGCTAGACTCCGCCAGACTCCGCTAGACTCCGCTAACTCCGCCAGACTCCGCTAACTCCGCCAGACTCCGCTAGACTCCGCTAACTCCGCCAGACTCCGCTAGACTCCGCCAGACTCCGCCAGACTCCGCTAACTCCGCCAGACTCCGCTAGACTCCGCTAACTCCGCCAGACTCCGCCAGACTCCACTAACTCCGCCAGACTCCGCTAGACTCCGCCAGACTCCGCTAGACTCCGCTAACTCCGCTAGACTCCGCTAACTCCGCCAGACTCCGCTAACTCCGCCAGACTCCGCTAACTCCGCCAGACCCGCTAGACTCCGCTAACTCCTCCAGACTCCGTTAACTCCGCCAGACTCCGCTAGACTCCGCCAGACCCCGCTAACTCCGCCAGACTCCGCTAACTCCGCCAGACTCCACTAACTCCGCCAGACTCCGCTAACTCCGCCAGACTCCGCTAGACTCCGCCAGACTCCACTAACTCCGCCAGACTCAGCTAACTCCGCCAGACTCCGCTAGACTCCGCCAGACTCCTCTAACTCCGCCAGACTCCGCTAGACTCCGCCAGACTCCGCTAGACTCCGCTAGACTCCGCCAGACTCCGCTAGACTCCGCTAACTCCGCCAGACTCCGCTAACTCCGCCAGACTCCGCTAGACTCCACTAACTCCGCCAGACTCCGCTAACTCCGCCAGACTCCGCCAGACTCCGCTAACTCCGCTAGACTCCGCTAACTCCGCCATACTCCGCTAACTCCGCCAGACTCCGCTAACTCCGCCAGACTCCGCTAACTCCGCCAGACTCCGCTAGACTCCGCTAGACTCCGCCAGACTCCACTAACTCCGCCAGACTCCGCTAGACTCCGCCAGACTCCGCTAGACTCCGCTAACTCCGCCAGACTCCGCTAACTCCGCCAGACTCCGCTAGACTCCACTAACTCCGCCAGACTCCGCTAACTCCGCCAGACTCCGCCAGACTCCGCTAACTCCGCTAACTCCGCTAACTCCGCCAGACTCCGCCAGACTCCGCCAGACTCCGCCAGACTCCGCTAACTCCGCCAGACTCCGCTAACTCCGCCAGACTCTGCTAACTCCGCCAGACTCTGCTAACTCCACCAGACTCCGCTAACTCCGCCAGACTCTGCTAACTCCGCCAGACTCCGCTAACTCCGCCAGACTCTGCTAACTCCGCCAGACTCCGCCAGACTCCACTAACTCCGCTAACTCCGCCAGACTCCGCTAGACTCCAATAACTCCGCCAACTCCGACAGACTCCACCAGACCCCGCTAACTCCGCCAGACTCCGCTAACTCCGCCATACTCCGCTAACTCCGCCAGACTCCGCTAACTCCGCCAGACTCCGCCAGACTCCGCCAGACTCCGCCAGACTCCGCTAACTCCGCCAGACTCCGCTAACTCCGCCAGACTCTGCTAACTCCGCCAGACTCAGCTAACTCCACCAGACTCCGCTAACTCCGCCAGACTCCGCTAACTCCGCCAGACTCTGCTAACTCCGCCAGACTCCACTAACTCCGCTAACTCCGCCAGACTCCGCTAGACTCCGCCAGACTCCGCTAGACTCCAATAACTCCGCCAACTCCGACAGACTCCACCAGACCCCGCTAACTCCGCCAGACTCCGCTAACTCCGCCAGACTCCGCTAACTCCACCAGACTCCGCTAACTCCACCAGACTCCGCTAGACTCCGCCAGACTCCGCTAACTCCGCTAGACTCCGCTAACTCCGCCAGACTCCGCTAACTCCGCCAGACTCCGCTAACTCCGCCAGACTCCGCTAACTCCGCCAGACTCCACTAACTCCGCCAACTCCACACACTCTTTCTCTCACACACACTCAATTTCTCTCTCTCTCTCTCTCACACAGACTCCGCCAGACTCCGCTAACTCCGCTAACTCCGCCAACTCCGCCAACTCCGCCAACTCCGCCAACTCCGACAGACTCCGCCAGACTCCGCTAACTCCGCTAACTCCGCTAACTCCGCCAACTCCGACAGACTCCGCTAACTCCGCTAACTCCGCCAGACTCCGCCAGACTCCGCTAACTCCACCAACTCCACCAACTCCACCAACTCCGCCAGACTCCGCCAGACTCCGCAAGACTCCGCAAGACTCCGCCAGACTCCGCAAGACTCCGCAAGACTCCGTTTATGGTTCATTCAGATGATCTTCTTCTTTTGGAGGAAAGTTTGGGGAGTAAAGGGCAGTTTCTGGGTGAAGCATCCAGTGTGTGTGTGTGTGTGTGTGTGTGACTATAGGCTAACAGAAGCACACACACACACACACTCACTCTCTCTCTCTCACACACACACACACTATATCTCTCTCTCTCTCTCTCTTTCTCTCTCTCACACACACACACACACACTCTCTCTCTCTATCTTTCTCACACACACACTCTCTCTATCTTTCTCACACACACTCTATCTTTCTCACACACACTCTCTCTCTTTCTCACACACACACTCTCTCTCTCTCACACACACACGTACACACTCTCTCTCTCTCTCTCTCTCTCTCACACACACACACACACACACACACACACGCGCTCTCTCTCTTTCTCACACACTCTGACACACACACACTCTTTCTCTCACACACACTCAATTTCTCTCTCTCTCTTTTTCACACAAACACACACACACGCGCGCTCTCTCTCAGGCTGGGATGCTGGATATGGACGGACTCTCTCTCACACACACTCTCTATTTCTCATACACTCACACACACTCACTTTCTCTCTCACACACACTCACCTGGCGGGCGCTGGGTCTGGTGTGTCCGCAGTTCTGCGAATCCTCGGACTCTTTCCCGCTGTGATAAACGCGATCGGAGATGTGGATGCTGGAGGCGCAGCCCATCATTCACCCGCGCGACGCGGCGCGACGCGACGCTCCTCTCGCTAAAAGGAACGATTCTCTCTCAGATCATCAAGACGACCGGATCGATCAGATCTATCGATGATCAAACAGAAAGTCTGCTCATGTTTGTCCTCACGCGCGCCCGTTACTCCTCATCCTCGGCGTCTTTCTCCGGCTCGATTTACGCGACGGATTCGTCCATTAGTGCGGCGCGTTTGAGCGTTTATTCTCCTTCGACAGGCGTCAAACACACCCGATGTGTGTCCGTGCGGCCTCAGGAGCCGGCGCGTTGATCGCGCTCCCCATCAACAGGCTGAAATCCGCCGCGGAACGCGCGATCCGGCATTTATGACATCAAACGGGCCGTTGATGAAACTCCGGCGCGGCGCGTCAACGCGGACCTCGCGGAACCTGCCTTCAACAGCAGCTGTCAATCACGGGCCTACGGTTCTGCCTCAGACGGACGAAAGAAAGCGACGCGCGGCTGCAAGAACACGGAAAGAAAGGCGTTTGCGCGTCGCGAGTTTCCTGACGAGGAATAACGCGCGTTGAGAACATCAGCGGCGCGAATGTGTGACAGCAGCAGATCCAATAAAAGCACGCGCACGGATTGACCTACAGCCTCGAATGACGTCAATGCAAATGAGCTGCGTCGAGCCAATGAGCGGCGGCTTGCGCGCAGGGGGGCGGGGCTCGCGCGTGGAGGGAACTTCAAACGCGCGACGCGGATGGAGGAAAATAATGCGACTCACTTATAGAGTTAACTCAGAAAAATGCAGTTTACCGAGCTTGTAATTTGTCCCATGAAAATCAAAGCTTTATAATGTTTTTGTTTTTTTTACTTTTACTTTACTCTGTTACCTTAAATTATATGTTTATCTCTGTAAAGCTGCTTTGAAACAATCTACATTGTTAAAAGCGCTATATAAATGAGGATGACTTGACTTTATTAGCTAAGCATTTATCCACAAATGTTGATCTCCCCGTTTTTAATCATTATTCGGTGCAATATCAAAGCACTGTTAAAAAATATAAGTAATAAAAGACTGGGATGAAATTAATTTTTTTGAAAATGTTGATAAATATGAACTCAGTGATATAGCCTACAAATATGAAAAAAACTAACACTGAATGTCATCTGCATATATTTAGTGAGTTGTAGTCACTTCCTATCCTTATTTTTTCTGTTCAAACAAGTATTCTTTACTTCAATGAGCTCATTGTTTCTGCCTTAAATTATTACATTGTTTAAATGCATTTTTGCATAAATCATTGAATTGTTTAATACATTTTTCGCTAACTGTGATTTTGTATATGTACATTTCTGGAACGCATTACTTAGTCTCCTCTGACAACAGATCGCTCTAAACTGTAATATGGACTCATGCATTTTCTGTAAAGCTGCTGTAATGATGTGTATGGTGAAAAGCGCTATACAAATAAATGTGAATTGAATTGAATTCTTCTTGAGGCACATCATGTCATGCTTCATTTGTTTTTCCTTTTGATCACAAGCATCATAAATACAAAGCACGAAATGGAAAACTGATTCAGTCACATTGATTTCCAAGTGTATCTTTATTTGATTTAGTTTGACCTGACACAAAATCATGAGTTGATGAAGAGCAATCTCACTCAACGAGTTAAACTAGAGAATCACAGCACAAACACAACGCAAAACAATCAGCCAAACGTCCCCTGAACGCTGAGAACTCGTCCAGGGTGATGTATAAGCAGCGCAGCGTTCCTGACTCCTGCTATTGTGAATGACATCAGAGGCAGATGCTATAAAACACTTTTGTGGAGGGAAGAGTATATGCGCACTAAAATAATGCATATGCATATAGATATTTACATTTCATGAAATGCTTACAAAATAACTGAAATATGGCTACAAAAATACCTGAGTTATAAATCAACACTTGTATCACATGTAGGGTAAAAAAAAAATTATATATCATTAAAATGCATTATATAAGAAGTCATTACAATTCAAAATAGGCTAAACAGGTTTTCTGTTTTTGGTAAATAGGAGGTAGAAACTCTTCTTCTGTGGTGTGTGTGTGGGGGTGTGGGGGGTGGGGGGGCTCTGCCTACTTCACTGGAGTCATTACTACAACAGCCGGCCAGAAATGCAGTTGTTATTGAGATCACTGAGGTTTCTATTCATCACGTTCATCGGTCGCATTTACAAAAGCCCTGACATGCACAGCGCAATCAAACCATGCAGACGGTGCTCGAATCGGAGCTCAATAAGAACTGCGTGTCTCTGGCAGGCTAGAGGAAGTAAGACTGGAGGGATCCGCGCCGGCGCACGTCCGTCGTCCAGCAGTGAAAGCCTCCTCCCAGGGAGTTAGCGTGGCGGATGCTGACTTTAATCGTCTTAATACCTGCAGGAGCGACAAACAGCAGTCAACACACAGCCGATCGACATACAAGTCACATGCGTTACGCAATTAGATTACTTTAGTGATGTAACGAGTAAAGTAACACATTAAAAGTAACATGTATTACGTAATTAGAATACTTTAGTGATGTAACGAGTAAAGTAACGCATTAAAAGTAACATGTATTACGTAATTAGAATACTTTAGTGATGTAACGAGTAAAGTAACGCATTAAAAGTAACATGTATTACGTAATTAGAATACTTTAGTGATGTAACGAGTAAAGTAACGCATTAAAAGTAACATGCATTACGTAATTAGAATACTTTAGTGATGTAACGAGTAAAGTAACGCATTAAAAGTAACATGCATTACGTAATTAGATTACTTTAGTGATGTAACGAGTAAAGTAACGCATTAAAAGTAACATGCATTACGTAATTAGAATACTTTAGTGATGTAACGAGTAAAGTAACGCATTAAAAGTAACATGCATTACGTAATTAGAATACTTTAGTGATGTAACGAGTAAAGTAACGCATTAAAAGTAACATGTATTACGTAATTAGATTACTTTAGTGATGTAACGAGTAAAGTAACGCATTAAAAGTAACATGTATTACGTAATTAGAATACTTTAGTGATGTAACGAGTAAAGTAACGCATTAAAAGTAACATGCATTACGTAATTAGAATACTTTAGTGATGTAACGAGTAAAGTAACGCATTAAAAGTAACATCCGTTACGTAATTAGAATACTTTAGTGATGTAACGAGTAAAGTAACGCATTAAAAGTAACATCCGTTACGTAATTAGAATACTTTAGTGATGTAACGAGTAAAGTAACGCATTAAAAGTAACATGCATTACGTAATTAGAATACTTTAGTGATGTAACGAGTAAAGTAACGCATTAAAAGTAACATCCGTTACGTAATTAGAATACTTTAGTGATGTAACGAGTAAAGTAGCGCATTAAAAGTAACATGCGTTACGTAATTAGAATACTTTAGTGATGTAACGAGTAAAGTAACGCATTAAAAGTAACATCCGTTACGTAATTAGAATACTTTAGTGATGTAACGAGTAAAGTAGCGCATTAAAAGTAACATCCGTTACGTAATTAGAATACTTTAGTGATGTAACGAGTAAAGTAGCGCATTAAAAGTAACATGCGTTACGTAATTAGATTACTTTAGTGATGTAACGAGTAAAGTAGCGCATTAAAAGTAACATGCGTTACGTAATTAGAATACTTTAGTGATGTAACGAGTAAAGTAGCGCATTAAAAGTAACATGCGTTACGTAATTAGAATGCTTTAGTGATGTAACGAGTAAAAGTAACATGTGTTACGTAATTAGATTACTTTAGTGATGTAACGAGTAAAGTAACGCATTAAAAGTAACATGCGTTACGTAATTAGATTACTTTAGTGATGTAACGAGTAAAGTAGCGCATTAAAAGTAACATGCGTTACGTAATTAGAATACTTTAGTGATGTAACGAGTAAAGTAGCGCATTAAAAGTAACATGCGTTACGTAATTAGAATACTTTAGTGATGTAACGAGTAAAGTAGCGCATTAAAAGTAACATGCGTTACGTAATTAGATTACTTTAGTGATGTAACGAGGAAAGTTACGCATTAAAAGTAACATGCGTTACGTAATCAGATTACTTTAGTGATGTAGCGAGTAAAGTAACGCATTAAAAGTAACATGCGTTACGTAATCAGAATACTTTAGTGATGTAACGAGTAAAGTAGCGCATTAAAAGTAACATGCGTTACGTAATCAGATTACTTTAGTGATGTAACGAGGAAAGTTACGCATTAAAAGTAACATGCGTTACGTAATCAGATTAGTTTTTTGATGTAACGAGTAAAGTAACACATTAAAAGTAACATGCGTTACGTAATCAGATTACTTTAGTAATGTAGCGAGTAAAGTAACGCATTAAAAGTAACATGCGTTACGTAATCAGATTACTTTAGTGATGTAACGAGGAAAGTTACGCATTAAAAGTAACATGCGTTACGTAATCAGATTACTTTAGTGATGTAACGAGGAAAGTTACGCATTAAAAGTAACATGCGTTACGTAATCAGATTACTTTAGTGATGTAACGAGTAAAGTAGCGCATTAAAAGTAACATGCGTTACGTAATCAGAACACTTTAGTGATGTAACGAGTAAAGTAGCGCATTAAAAGTAACATGCGTTACGTAATCAGATTACTTTAGTGATGTAACGAGGAAAGTTACGCATTAAAAGTAACATGCGTTACGTAATCAGATTAGTTTTTTGATGTAGCAAGTAAAGTAACACATTAAAAGTAACATGCGTTACGTAATCAGATTACTTTAGTAATGTAACGAGGAAAGTTACGCATTAAAAGTAACATGCGTTACGTAATCAGATTACTTTAGTGATGTAACGAGTAAAGTAGCGCATTAAAAGTAACATGCGTTACGTAATCAGATTACTTTAGTGATGTAACGAGGAAAGTTACGCATTAAAAGTAACATGCGTTACGTAATCAGATTAGTTTTTTGATGTAGCGAGTAAAGTAACACATTAAAAGTAACATGCGTTACGTAATCAGATTACTTTTGTGATGTAACGAGGAAAGTAACGCATTAAAAGTAACATGCGTTACGTAATCAGATTACTTTTTTTGATGTTACGAGTAAAGTAGCGCATTAAAAGTAACATGCGTTACGTAATTAGATTACTTTTGTGATGTAACGAGGAAAGTAGCGCATTAAAAGTAACATGCGTTACGTAATTAGATTACTTTTGTGATGTAACGAGTAAAGTTATAAATTTACACATTAACACCTAAGTTACTTTTTTAAGTCATGCGCATTACTTTTCAGTTTAATTAATTTACTTGAACATTTTTAAAGTACTGAATAAAAAATTCTCTCTCTTCTCCATAACATTGTCACTCAAACATGCGCACCCATGCCTGCGCAAACAGACAAAAAGTACTAACAAAATACATTAATTTCAACTTTCAATAAAAGCGCTGAAAGTTTAAATTAATAAAGATACAGTAGGTAATATAACCTTAATGTTGAGATCTTTTGTATGGTGTCTGTTGCTCTAGGAAATATTCTAAGTGCTCAGAATATGATAATGTGTTTTTAAAAGTAAAATTAAAGTGTGTGTTATTTAGGCTATCCATTACTGCGACAAACACTTTCAGACAAAAAAGACCTTCAGTAAAAACACCTGTAAGGCCTAGAAGAGATCGAGCCTCGCTGGGTGAGAAAAAGAAACGTAACTTTTTACCATTTAGAGAGTATTGTAACACTGTAACGCATGACGTCCCCAACACTGGTGTATCGGGTCAGGGCTGAAGCTCCAGAAGAGCTGGAAGAAACAGTTCTTACCGAGATTTTCAAACATCTTCTGTATGGTCATCTCATTAGCATCCACCATCACACGTTTCTCATCCAGCATCAACACATTCATGGACAGCCATTTGGAGGACATCCACAACGGATGATCTGAGGAGAAGTGCTCATGTTTAAGCCAAACATCATCTATGGCCATTCACATCATCTATGAAATACAGATTGTATTAAAGTAGTGATTCTCTCCAGTGAAGCGCAACATGACTTTGTTTACATTATTCAAACTGTTCATTTCCATGTTGTAATTTGAATATCTGACAAAAAAATATGAATATATAAGATGGGATGTGGATCAGTCATGTGATGTTTACAAGCTCTCAACCACAAATCTGTTCCTGTGCAGAAATGAGAATGGCAGAATATGATTGTGTTTGTTGACTGTGAGCTCGGCGTATAAAGACTGCTTTGTTTTTGACTCAGAAATATTCCTCCTTAGAAGAAAAGGTTTTATATAGAACCATAACGTGTGTTAGCAGCATGATTATCTGAACTACTGGGTTACTGATATTAATCAGATCGTGATATTAATAAAAATCTGGTAACGTCACTGTGAAACTGAAGTAGCAGGAGATATGTTTCCTCTGTATTGTGATGTACAGTGAGGGATTATTGTGCGTCGGCTGCTGATTGGATGTTGAGATGTAATGATGAACACGAGGGTTTAATGTACATGTAATGTAATGTAATGAAAATTATGTTGGCATTAGTGGTGTTGCACTAGCATGGTTTAAATCATACTTATCTGACCGTTATCAGTTTGTAGCAGTAAATGAAGAGATGTCTTATCGATCACAAGTTCAGTATGGCGTACCACAAGGCTCAGTTCTAGGACCGCTGCTGTTCACTCTGTACATGCTACCATTAGGAGATACACTACCGTTCAAAAGTTTGGGGTCAGTGAGAATTTTATTTTTATTTTTTGGAGGAAAGAAATCAATACTTTTATTTATCAAGGACAGTAAAGACATTTATAATGTTACAAAAGATTCTATTTCAAACAAATGCTGTTCTTTTGAACTTCCTATTCATCAAAGAATCCTAAAAAAAAAAAAAAAAAACTGTACAACTAACAGACCAACAACTGTTTCAACATTGATAATAATAATAAATGTTTCTTGAGCATCAAATCCTCATATTATACTGATTTGTGAAGGATCATTTGACACTGAAGACACTGACACTGGTGATGCTGAAAATTCAGCTTTGATCACAGGAATAAATTACACTTTACTATATATTCACACAGAAAAAAGCTGATTTACACTGGAATAATATTTAATACTATAACTGATTTTTGTTGTATTTTTAATCAAATAAGCGCAGCCATGGTTAGCAGAAGAGAATTCTTTTAAAAGTATTTAAAATCGTACCGACCCCAAACTTTTGAACGGTAGTGTATCATTAGGGAACATGGAGTTAGTTTTCACTGTTATGCCGGTGATACTCAGCTGTATATTTCTTCACGCCCCGACGAAACTTACCAATTCACAAAATTAACGGAATGCATAGCTGATATAAAATATTGGATGACTAGTAATTTCCTACTACTAAATTCTGAAAAAACAGAGATTCTAATTATTGGACAAAAAACTTCCACACGTAATAACCTAGAATACTGTCTAACACTTGATGGCTGCTCTGTTAAGTCTTCGTCGTCGGTTAGGAACCTGGGTGTGTGTGTGTGTGTGTGTGTGTGCTCTTTGATACCAATCTCTCATTTGAAAGTCACGTGTCTAGTATCTGTAAAACCGCATTTTTCCATCTTAAAAACATATCTAAATTACGCCATATGCTCTCATTAACAAATGCAGAACAATTAGTTCATGCGTTCATGACATCAAGGCTAGATTACTGTAATGCTCTACTGGGTGGTTGCCCTGCATGCTTAATAAACAAACTACAGCTAGTTCAAAACGCCGCAGCTCGAGTTCTTACCAGAACCAGGAAATATGACCATATTAGCCCGGTTCTGTCAACACTGCATTGGCTGCCTATTAAACATCGTATAAATTTTAAAATATTGTTGATTACTTACAAAGCACTAAATGGTTTAGCTCCGCAGTGCTTGAGCGAGCTCTTAACGCATTATAGTCCTTCACGTCTATTGCGATCTCTAAACTCCGGCCAGTTGATAATACCTAGAATATCTAAATCGACTGCTGGCGGGAGATCCTTTTCCTATTTAGCACCAAAACTTTGGAACAGTCTTCCTACCATTGTCCGGGAAGCAGACACACTCTGTCAGTTCAAAGCTAGACTAAAAACACATCTCTTTGACCTAGCATACACATAATACATTATAGACTTCTATAACTCAATGTTAGGCTGCATAGATTAGGTCAGCCGGAACTGGGAACACTTCCCTTAAATCCTGATGTGCTCGTTACATCATAAGAAGAATGGCATCTACGCTAACTTTATTGTCTTTGTTTATCCCGAGGTTTTCCCGCAGCCTGCCGGATCCAGGCCGTATCCAGATTTGACGAAGGAGATTCGCCTGGACCCGATGACAATGCAGTGCTGAAGTGTCACTATCCTCTCCCTATGGAGGATCCCTTTCCCACTCGACAGATAAAGCGTTGTTGAAAATCCGGTTCTCGTACCTCGAAGTGATAAAATAAAATTCTGTATCAAATTTATAGGCAAGACAAGTAGTTTGTTTAGGCATGGTTGGTAGGGAAATTACAAACCTGCGCACACATATTCAAACGAATATAACTATAGAATCAATTTTTAATGCGCATGTGAACGCCATCAGGTCACAGGTTCGCGTTTAAAGTCTGTTTAGAGAGAACGCCGTCGTCTTAGTGGCCCCTAATGTAATAACAAATGATAATTTTGCGGGAAATGAATCAATCAAAACCAACTTTAGCTGGAAATAACATTATTCAAAAATCGCTATAAAGCCAAAACAATCTCTGTTACCGTAAATTGTATGTTTATCTCTGTAAAGCTGCTTTGAAACAATCTCCATTGTTAAAAGCGCTATATAAATGAAGATGACTTGACTTGACTTGACTTGACTTGACTTGACTTGACTTGACTTGACTACAGACTGACTGGAGAATCCAGCACACATCTAATATTCATATGAGAACTGAACTGAGCTGGACGATGACATCACGGTTTTCTCCAGAGCCGCTATATATATAAATGGACTAAATGAATAACTTTTTTACAACAGAAATGAGCCATCACTGAACTGACTTAAGCTGGACTGTGACGCTATTCTCTTCTGGAAACAACATTTGCATTATTTTCCAGTTATCTCTGTAAAGCTGCTGTGAAACACTGTGTGCTGTAAGAAGCGCTGTAGAAATAAAGCTGACTTGACTTCACCAGAGAGAAACCTGACGCTTCACTGGAAGATCATGAAACATTGTGGGGTCCAAACATTTTTAAAAAACGAATATATGCATGGATAATTTGATCTCAATAAGATTTATAACATGCATTTAAAAAATTCAGACTTTAAGCTTGTGTTTAACGTGATGATTGGGTCTGATATGATGGAAGGCTGTGTTTAGTTTGAACCAAACCCATGAAACCGGGATCACTATGACTATAACTATAACTATATCTATATCTATATCTATATCTCGAACTATAACTATGACTATGACTATGACTATATCTATAACTCACTGTCAGGAATAAGAGGAGTCGGAGGAGTCGCCACCGTCCAGCCGGCTTTCTTGAACATGTCGATCTGAGGGAGAGATTTATCATGAGATCAACACTAGATGGCAGCACAGCTCCACACACACACACACACACACACACACACTCACACACACATCACACACACTCACATACACACTAACCCTACCCCTACCCCTAAACCAATCCATCACACACACACACACACACCTACCGGCAGGGCCGATCTGGGTTGGACAGCACCACACACACACACACACACACACTCACACACACACACACACTAACCCTACCCCTAAACCTATCCATCACACACACACACACACACACACACACACTCACTCACTCACCTACCGGCAGGGCCGATCTGGGTTGGACAGCACCACACTCACACACACACTCACACACACACACACACTCACCTGACGGCAGGGCCGATCTGGATTGGACAGCACCAGCCCTGGGCCGATGATGTTGAAGGTGGCGTCGATGTGCATGGGGTTCGGGTCCTTGAAGGAGATGATGTGGATCTTGTAAGTGGGAGAGAGATGGCGCCGCATCCACTCGATGCCCATGAAGTTCGTGACCTGAGCAGAGTGGCACAGTGTCAGAGTGGCAGATTGGCAGAGTGGCAGAGAGCAGAGTGGCAGATTGGCAGAGTGGCAGAGTGGCAGAGAGCAGAGTGGCAGAGAGCAGAGTGGCAGATTGATCTCTGATCTTTCTCAGAGTGGCAGAGTGGCAGAGTGGCAGAGTGGCAAAGAGCAGAGTGGCAGAGTGGCAGAGAGCAGAGTGGCAGAGAGCAGAGTGGCAGAGAGCAGAGTGGCAGAGTGGCAGAATGGCAGAGAGCAGAGTGGCAGAGTGGCAGAGTGGCAAAGAGCAGAGTGGCAGAGTGGCAGAGAGCAGAGTGGCAGAGTGGCAGAGTGCCAAAGAGCAGAGTGGCAGAGTGGAAGAGTGACAAAGTGGCAGAGTGACAAAGTGGCAGAGAGCAGAGTGGCAGAGTGGCAAAGATCAGAGTGGCAGAGTGGCAGAGTGGCAGAGTGGCAAAGAGCAGAGTGGCAGAGTGGCAGAGAGCAGAGTGGCAGAGTGGCAGAGAGCAGAGTGGCAGAGAGCAGAGTGGCAGAGAGCAGAGTGGCAGAGAGCAGAGTGGCAGAGAGCAGAGTGGCAGAGAGCAGAGTGGCAGAGAGCAGAGAGCAGAGTGGCAGAGTGGCAGAGTGGCAGAGAGCAGAGTGGCAGAGTGGCAGAGTGGCAGAGAGCAGAGTGGCAGAGTGGCAGAGAGCAGAGTGGCAGAGAGCAGAGTGGCAGAGAGCAGAGTGGCAGAGTGGCAGAATGGCAGAGAGCAGAGAGCAGAGTGGCAGAGTGGCAAAGAGCAGAGTGGCAGAGTGGCAGAGAGCAGAGTGGCAGAGTGGCAGAGAGCAGAGTGGCAGAGAGCAGAGTGGCAGAGTGGCAGAATGGCAGAGAGCAGAGTGGCAGAGTGGCAGAGAGCAGAGTGGCAGAGTGGCAAAGAGCAGAGTGGCAGAGAGCAGAGTGGCAGAGAGCAGAGTGGCAGAGTGGCAGAATGGCAGAGAGCAGAGTGGCAGAGTGGCAGAGAGCAGAGTGGCAGAGAGCAGAGTGGCAGAGTGGCAGAGAGCAGAGTGGCAGAGAGCAGAGTGGCAGAGAGCAGAGTGGCAGAGAGCAGAGTGGCAGAGAGCAGAGTGGGAGAGTGACAGAGTGGCAGAGAGCAGAGTGGCAGAGTGGCAGAGAGCAGAGTGGCAGAGAGCAGAGTGGCAGAGTGGCAGAGAGCAGAGTGGCAGAGAGCAGAGTGGCAGAGTGGCAGAGAGCAGAGTGGCAGAGTGGCAGAGAGCAGAGTGGCAGAGAGCAGAGTGGCAGAGTGGCAGAGAGCAGAGTGGCAGAGTGGCAGAGTGGCAGAGTGGCAGAGAGCAGAGTGGCAGAGAGCAGAGTGGCAGAGAGCAGAGTGGGAGAGTGACAGAGTGGCAGAGAGCAGAGTGGCAGAGTGGCAGAGAGCAGAGTGGCAGAGAGCAGAGTGGCAGAGTGGCAGAGAGCAGAGTGGCAGAGTGGCAGAGTGGCAGAGTGGCAGAGAGCAGAGTGGCAGAGAGCAGAGTGGCAGAGAGCAGAGTGGCAGAGTGGCAGAGAGCAGAGTGGCAGAGAGCAGAGTGGCAGAGTGGCAGAGAGCAGAGTGGCAGAGAGCAGAGTGGCAGAGAGCAGAGTGGCAGAGAGCAGAGTGGCAGAGTGGCAGAGAGCAGAGTGGCAGTCAGAGTGGCAGAGTGGCAGAGAGCAGAGTGGCAGAGTGGCAGAGTGGCAGAGAGCAGAGTGGCAGAGTGGCAGAGAGCAGAGTGGCAGAGTGGCAGAGAGCAGAGTGGCAGAGTGGCAGAGAGCAGAGTGGCAGAGTGGAAGAGTGACAAAGTGGCAGAGTGACAAAGTGGCAGAGAGCAGAGTGGCAGAGTGGCAAAGATCAGAGTGGCAGAGTGGCAGAGTGGCAGAGTGGCAAAGAGCAGAGTGGCAGAGTGGCAAAGAGCAGAGTGGCAGAGTGGCAGAGAGCAGAGTGGCAGAGTGGCAGAGAGCAGAGTGGCAGAGTGGCAGAGAGCAGAGTGGCAGAGAGCAGAGTGGCAGAGAGCAGAGAGCAGAGTGGCAGTCAGAGTGACAGAGTGGCAGAGTGGCAGAGAGCAGAGTGGCAGAGAGCAGAGTGGCAGAGTGGCAGAGAGCAGAGTGGCAGTCAGAGTGGCAGAGTGGCAGAGAGCAGAGTGGCAGAGAGCAGAGTGGCAGAGAGCAGAGTGGCAGAGAGCAGAGTGGCAGAGAGCAGAGTGGCAGAGTGGCAGAGAGCAGAGTGGCAGAGAGCAGAGTGGCAGAGAGCAGAGAGCAGAGTGGCAGTCAGAGTGGCAGAGTGGCAGAGTGGCAGAGAGCAGAGTGGCAGTCAGAGTGGCAGAGAGCAGAGAGCAGAGAGCAGAGTGGCAGTCAGAGTGGCAGAGAGCAGAGTGCAGAGTGGCAGAGAGCAGAGTGGCAGAGAGGCAGTCAGAGTGGCAGAGAGCAGAGAGCAGAGTGGCAGAGAGGCAGTCAGAGTGGCAGAGAGCAGAGAGCAGAGTGGCAGTCAGAGTGGCAGAGAGCAGAGAGCAGAGAGCAGAGTGGCAGAGTGGCAGTCAGAGTGGCAGAGTGGCAGAGAGCAGAGAGCAGAGAGCAGAGTGGCAGTCAGAGTGGCAGAGAGCAGAGAGCAGAGTGGCAGAGAGCAGAGAGCAGAGTGGCAGAGAGCAGAGAGCAGAGTGGCAGAGTGGCAGAGAGCAGAGTGGCAGAGTGGCAGAGAGCAGAGTGGCAGAGTGGCAGAGTGGCAGAGAGCAGAGAGCAGAGTGGCAGAGAGCAGAGAGCAGAGTGGCAGAGAGCAGAGAGCAGAGTGGCAGAGAGCAGAGTGGCAGAGAGCAGAGTGGCAGAGAGCAGAGTGGCAGAGAGCAGAGTGGCAGAGAGCAGAGAGCAGAGTGGCAGAGTGACAGACCTCAACCTTTAGAGCGGGCGTTTGAGGATCGCTCAGATCTGCACTAATGGCTCCTCAGCGCGGTGCAACAGTTATTAACAAGCGCTTTTCAATCTTTCAGACAGCAAATATGAGCATTCTCATGTGAGGAAGACATCTGTTATAAACACTCAGCTTATACAATACTGAAAAATTAAATTAGTTTACATTAAGTTACATTATTATATATTTTTTCTACTCACTTCATTAATGTACTGTTAAAAGTCTTATTTATTTATTATATATAAAAGTTTAACTTATATTAATCAATTAATTGTAATACAAATTTTGTTTATATTAATCAAAATTTGTATTCATTTATTTTAATTTATAATATTACAATTTTAATATATATATAATTTTAATGCATATACTGTATATATATATATATACATATATTAATGTACATATAAAATGTACAATTGTTTCCTTAGTGTGAAGAAGTTTTTGGAATGGTCTAGAAAAAAACTGTAAAAACAATATATATATATGTATTGTTTTTCTCTAAGCGTTTTCCCAGTCTGGAACCCTGCTTTAGATTAGATGTTCTTCACAGTGAGAGACGGTCCAGACCCGTCGACGGAGAGGTTGTTTGGTCACCTGACTCCTCTGTACAAATATGTCAGTGCCGGCCCGGATAAAGTCCGCAGCGTCGAAACACGGCTCGAACTCTGTGGTGACGAACTTCCCCTGAGCCGCCAGCTTGTGTCTGTCCTCCACGGTGCGGATGGGGTAATCCTGCGCACACACACACACACACACACAGTGAGCTGCTGTCGTTCCAGTGTAGCAGCATCTGTGGCCACGCCTCTAAAGGTCACCTGATCGTACAGCTCGTCGCTCATGGTGGGTTTGGGTGCTGTGGTCCACTTTGCCCCGCGCCGGAAGTACTCCTTGATCAGGGGCCGATACGCCCGGTACTCGAAGAAGCGGGCCCTCCAGGCCATCGGGGCCTCGATGATCTCGTTGCCCACCACCATGAGGATATCTCTGGGCATCGCCGCGTACATGCCTGTGTGAGACGAGTCCGTGTGAGAACCCCTTCCTCAGGTGTGTGTGTGTGTGTGCGTGCGTGTGTGTGTGTGTGCGTGCGTGCGTGTGCATGCGTGTGTGTGTGTGTGTGTGTGTGTGTGTGTGTGTGTGTGTGTGTGTGCGTGTCACCTGTGGAGGAGAAGTCAGGGGTCTTGTACTCTAAGGACCAGTCCACTGGCTCTGGCCGTCTCACTGTGACTCCCTCGTGACGGAGAATATTGCACATTTCCTCGATTTCAGCAACTGCTTTCCTCACGTGGTCCTTCGGGAATGTCTGTCCGCCGTGTTGCTGGTAGAAGGGCCAGTATTTCTCATACGTGTTGGCCTGCACACACACACACACACACACACACACACACACACACACACACAGTACCAATAAATATCCAGTTTGGGGTGTGATGAACACGTTCAGGTCATTCACAGTGTGTTCTGTTTATATATGTCCCGCTGTAATATCAGCAATAAACTGTGCTTTAGACATTTACTGCGGTAATATTTAGTAGGCTACCTTTGAATAACAAAAAAATATCATATAGTACTATCCAGAGGATATTCCACCTGAACATCCCAGTACTTTCTACACGGTAACACTTTACAATAAGGTTCATTAGTTAATGTTTTACTAACATGAACTAACAATGAGCAAAACATTTGTTACAGTAGGCTATTTATTAATCTTTGTTAATGTTAGTTAATAAAATGCAGCTGTTCATGTTAGTTAATGTTAACAAATACAACCTTTGATTTTAATAACGTATTAGTAAATATCGAAATTAATATTAACTAAGAATAATAAATGTTAAAGAAGTATTGATCATTCTTAGTTCATGTTAATTAAGGTAGTTAACTAATGTTAACTAATGAACCTTATTGTAAAGTGTTACCGAGTATATTTATTGTTTTTGGTGTGTTACAGTAGTATACTGGAAACCCTGAGAAACGTCACGTAGACATTAGACCTGGCCAGATGTGCAGAGGCATCGCAGTCTCAGTATTAGTAGTAATGTGAACTCTGACCCCGGTGAGTTTCGTACCTTGACCTCCACGGTGAACGGGGGAACGCATGCGTTCTCGGCTCTGCCCACGATCACCTCCTCGAGCGGGTCCCACTCGTTATACGCGCTCACAGGACACTCCTCGTGCGCGTGCTCGTGAACCGGCTCGTCCAACGGGAGATGCGCGGCCGCGGAACTCGAGCTGTTGCGGAACGCGCGCGACACCCATCCCGAGAGCGCGCGACCCGCCTGCGCGCGACACACACGAACAGAAGATCAATCAATCAATCATCACCGGGAAACAACAACAACAACAGAGATTATCACTGGCGACAGGGAGAAAGAGCAATGATTCATGCATAATCAGTTAATGTATTTGACCCTAATCATTATAAAGTGCCGGTATAGGCTATAATTCCCGGATGCATGAATGGAGACTGACACGTGTCCTGATGACCTGAAGCTGAACGCATGAAACAGACTTTACTCTGGTAAAGTTCCTCGAGTCCGAGACTCCTCCAGCTGTCAATCATCCACAACACGTGATCAATCCAGCTGTGCTGTCAATCACCCACAACACGTGATCTGTGACAGATCATCTGTCACTCTGAGTCGATGCAACATTATTGAGACATTAATTGCAATTATTACAGTTGCACTCGAGAGTTAATGATTTAACACAGCCAATCAATTTCAGAGGATTTTTAATCTTCTCAGCCGTTTAATTGTTGTGTAATCTGTAAATGCAATACATAAAAATGCCATAATCTGTAAATGTGTCTGTTCTGACTTCACCTTTTTCATATTTTATTCTTTAACTGTATAATTAAGTGTCTTGTTTCTGAATGCGTGCACTGGAAGATTCCTTTCGGTGTGTGTGTGTGTGTGTGTGAGAGAGAGAGAGAGAGAGCAGCTGGTTCTGGTTCTGACTGTGATCCAGTTCTTAGTCTCTATAATAATGTAATATATTCACCATATCCCCGATGAGATGTGCAGCTTCAGCTCCTCGGCTCCCTCCTCTCAGGCACCGGACCCGCAGCATGTTCTCCTGGCTCTGGTTCTGGTTCTGCTTATGGTTATGGTTCTGCTTCTGGTTCTGGACTGAAGCTCTCACACATGCAGCACTTCTGATCCGGGAAAGTAAGAGAAGCGCCGCGGGGACGCGCTTTTATAGTGCGCGCGGCAGGTGGCAAGGGTCGCGAGAGATATTCGTGACATGTGAGTGAGAGAGTGAGTGAGTGAGTGTGTGTGTGTGTGTGTGAGAGAGAGAGAGAGAGAGAGAGAGAGAGAGAGAGAGAGAGAGAGAGAGAGAGAGAGAGAGAGAGAGAGAGAGAGAGAGAGAGAGAGAGAGAGAGAGAGAGAGAGAGAGAGAGAGTGTGTGTGTGTGTGTGTGTGTGTGTGTGTGTGAGAGAGAGAGAGAGAGCCTGACACCAGCACATTCTTATCGGGGCTCCAGTGGATTAAAGTGACGCAACGACACGCTCGATCCTCCACAGCCATGAGTGTGTGTTCGCTACTGTAATTACTGTATCATCATAATAATCATCATTATAGTCTTACTTCTTCTATAGCGCCTACTCAAGATATCAAACTAAAAAATAACAAAAGACACGAATGGGAATAGGCTACATAATTGAAACACGCATATAAATAACCTAATTAACCCTATATAATGAAATAACAAATAATGCACAAATAAAAGAGTCGAGATTAGATTTAAGCACACTTAAAGGGATGCAGAACAAACCCGACTTTAAGAGAAAGATTTGAGGAATAAAGGATCAAAAGCCGTGACAGATTCCCTGATTCCCAGATCGAAGTGATCACGTGCTCGGGATTCTGCACGTATGTATTGTGTTTGTTTAGGAGGATTCAGCAAAGAGTCGATGCGACTAAACTAAAACTATATCTTTGCAGACAGAGATCTGTTACAGGAGTAATCTTGCTAAACTTCTGAGGTGAAAAAAAATATGTTTTCATAGTATTCTGAACATGTCACATGATATTAAGCTCGTATTACAAAATTTAATTGTAATTTTAAAAAAAATTCTAAATTCTCTTCCACAGTTTTCCGAATCTGCCACCTGTCAATCACAGATAGTCCCGCCCACAGCTCACGCCATTGGTCCACGGGTCTAACCCAAAACTAACAGCCTTTTTGCTTTTCGAGGAAATGAACTGTCTGTGACTTTAACCATTTTAACACAGAAAAAGTTACATATACTTCCGCTTTAAGTGGAGAATGCTATTGGCTTTCACATGGACACTGTTTTACTAATAAAGACTAACACAATTCTTCTGTCAGGAAAGCTGGACAAGCAGAAGCTGACGTGTAGAGAACAAATGTTGACATCGAGGTCTAAGAGAACAACAAGATAGAGAGAAGGCATCAGATCAATGCAATCAATGTATTCTTTTACATTTATGGCACAAAAGGAGGAAAAACTAGAGCATGAGAGGTCTGAGACAGAAGTATAACAGCATCCAGTCCGTCTTCTGTGATATGCAGGACATCAGCAGAGATCAGCGGTTCGGGTCCAGAGGCGGATCCAGTCCTCAGCACATGCAGAAGTTATCAGTCTCTGTGACCAGAGAATCAATTCAATTCAATTCACATTTATTTGTATAGCGCTTTTCAAAATACACATAGTTTCAGTAAGTGCATGAGTCCACATTACAGTCCAGAGTGGAGTGTTATCAGAGGAGACGGTCTGAGTTATGTGTTTCAGAAATGTATGTACAAAGTCACACTTAGCTAAAAATGTATTCATTTAAACAATGTGATAATTTAAGGCAGAAACAAAGAGCTCATTCAGTGTTGGAGCGAGCGCTGTCTGCCTGAGAACAGCACCGGGTTCTGGCCCGTCTACAGGGTTCGGCCTCCGGATGGATCGGATCGGGAAAGCCTTCGGATGGATTGGATCGGGAAAGCCTTCGGATGGATCGGGAAAGCCTTCGGATGGATTGGGAAAGCCTTCGGATGGATCGGGATAGCCTTCGGATGGATCGGATCGGGAAAGCCTCCGGATGGTTCGGGAAAGCCTTCGGATGGATCGGGAAAGCCTTCGGATGGATCGGATCGGGAAAGCCTCCGGATGGATCGGAAAAGCCTACGGATGGATCGGATCGGGAAAGCCTTCGGATGGATCGGGAAAGCCTCCGGATGGATCGGGAAAGCCTTCGGATGGATTGGATCGAGAAAGCCTCCGGATGGATCGGATCGGGAAAGCCTTCGGATGGATCGGGAAAGCCTTCGGATGTGTGGGGAATGCCTTCGGATGGATCGGATCGGGAAAGCCTTCGGATGGATCGGGAAAGCCTTCGGATGGATCGGGAAAGCCTCCGGATGGACCGGATCGGGAAAGCCTTCGGATGGATCGGGAAAGCCTCCGGATGGATCGGGAAAGCCTTCGGATGGATTGGATCGAGAAAGCCTCCGGATGGATCGGATCGGGAAAGCCTTCGGATGGATCGGATCGGGAAAGCCTTCGGATGGATCGGGAAAGCCTTCGGATGGATCGGGAAAGCCTCCGGATGGACCGGATCGGGAAAGCCTTCGGATGGATCGGGAAAGCCTTCGGATGGATTGGATCGGGAAATCCTTCGGATGGATCGGGAAAGCCTCCGGATGGATCGGGAAAGCCTCCGCATGGATCGGATCGGGAAAGCCTTCGGATGGATCGGGAAAGCCTCCGGATGGATCGGATCGGGAAAGCCTTCGGATGGATCGGGAAAGCCTTCGGATGGATCGGGAAAGCCTCTGGATGGATCGGATCGGGAAAGCCTTCGGATGGATCGGGAAAGCCTCTGGATGGATCGGATCGGGAAAGCCTTCGGATGGATCGGATCAGGAAAGCCTTCGGATGGATGGGGAAAGCCTTCGGATGGATCAGATCGGAAAAGCCTTCGGATGGATGGGGAAAGCCTTCGGATGGATTGGATCGGGAAAGCCTTCGGATTGATCGGGAAAGCCTTCGCCTCACTGCTGGGATGTAAGCGTTTTTCGAAGGATCCAGCCTTAAAGCCGGACTCGAGTCGAGGAATCCACGTCTAAACAGCTGCAAATCCTAGACTGTTGCTAATTCTCAAACAGAGCAGACCATTGTTTTGAATCGATATCTTAACATAAGAACACTCAAAACACCCTGGCCTGAACTGACCTTTCTGAACCTATCCTGAGCGAACAATGCAAGCCTGCAGTGCGTGTCCAGCTTCATCAGCAGCGCCTGTGCTTCAGTTAGGGTTATAATCTCAATAATCACGCAGATACAGTACAGAAGTGGGTCACCCAGATACACTCCACTGATTTACTGCTCGTTTTATTGAAATATTGGACTTTGCCAATTCTACTAGGTTAGTATTATTTGCATAATCCAGCAGGAAAGCAGCAGGTTTCCCCTGAACAACGGGAGTCATGGAGTGGGACGTGTGCCTGTCACTCGCTCTACTGTTAAATGTGTTTGATAACTCAAGAGATCGAGGTCAGACATTTTCCAAAAGCGCTTTATATAAACAAAACTGTGCAGAACGTTATCAGTCCGGCTCCTTCTTCTCTCTGCTATCACTGTAACCTTGAGAAGTTAACAATCAGTCTGTTCCAAACGCACGATTCTCATTACCGCAGTGCATGCTGGGAACTGGGCCTCTGTGGATACGTCTGAGAGCGTGTGGGAGCGACATGTCACAATTATTTGCTGAATGAAAGTCAGCCAGTGTTTTGCTAGCGAGAGGTCGTTGAGTTTGATTTCTCAGCTGGAGTCACACCGCTGCTATCAGGAGCTCGAGGAACTGATAGCGGAGATCTGAGAATGATGCAACCGCTGATCTGGCACTGGACCAGGACTCCGGATCTGCTCATGACGGAAACAGTGCCCTCTGGTGCTCCTCAGTCGTTTTTGACTGAAAAAAATGACATTTGGAATATATATTCTAATTTTTCTTCATCGGAATGGTACAAAACTTGGTAAAGGTTTAGGCACTTGCTATGTGAACACACACACACACACAAATGGTCCTGAAACAGACAGTCACACTTGTGCTCCTCGCGGTCAGAAATTACGCATTGGAAATGAATGAGAGACGAGTCTCTAGTGGAAGCGTTTGGTACTGCAGCCGAACAACATCTCACTGAACGCTCATTTTTTTAGATATCAGGCTCAAATTTTGAACACAACTTGTTTAGATTTATGGCTTTGATTTTATCACAGTTTTAGATGAAAACATATTTTTGAAAATATATATTTCATATAAAAAATTTAAATAGTATTTTTGTGCATTTTTCATAACAATACACGTAAAATTCTGTAACTTTTTTAAGTTCACTTTTTAAAACTGTTTTCACTTCAGCAATAATCTGCCGAGTGTCGTCTCTGAGAAGAGACCAAACTTCAGTCTGTCGCTCTAAAGCGTTCAAGATTTACCAGTTTAAGCTGGAAATGTAATTTTCAGGTCTATGCTCAAAAAGTGAATAAATGGATTATAAATACAGCGTAAATATAATTTAGTATAAAAAAATCCCCTAAAAAAAAATGTAAATAAAAAACATTATCGAACTAAAATATAGCTAGTACATTCATTTCGTTGAAATGAAAATTACAATTCTGTCATTTTTGACCGACATGCGAAGAGCAGCAGAGGTTAAGGGGGCTTTTACACTGGGCTCGTTTGCTGCGGTCCGAGCCCGAGCGCGTTTGTTCCCGGCGCCCCCCGCAGCGTTGGTCTGGTTTCACACACAACTTGATTCTATCGAACCCTGGTGCGTTTGCGTGCATATCACGTCATCGCAAACGTGCACGGCGCATGATAGAAAACAGAACGCGGGGCAATATTGTTTTTTTTATTATTAATTCGCTGCTATTATGCGCAGTTGAGTGAACACTACAGGTTTACTGTGCGTGTGTCACATAAGGTGGCCTTCTGCTGCTTGCAAACGGACGCTTTTGAGGAGACATGATTTCCAAATTTGGTGCCCTGATTTCACGCAATGCACGAATACACTGCAGGTTCACTCTCGCTCGTATCCAAGGTAAATCATCAACACTATCATCCCTTACAAGTGTTTTAATTTAACTGAATACATCACAATGAGCTAAAACGCATGCGCAGGTCACTTTACTTCCTGA